TGTGTGTGTGTGTGTGTGTGTGTGTGTGTGTGTGTGTGTGTGTGTGTAATAGCAGTCTGACAAGCAATGTTTCCTCTCTGAACACCATTTGCAGCTCTCTAATTCAGTGTAGATGGATGATTCCTATATGTTGAGGCTTCTGTATACAAGGCACAAAACTGCTTCCCACTTGCAACATCAGTTGTAAGTTCCAGCTTATTTTACCTATGCTTCTGTCCCACTGGCTGGAAACCAGGGTTTTTACTAACTGGTCCCAGAGCTCAGATTTCACAGAACTCAGGAAACTTGCTTACTGATGTATTATAAAGCATATTGCAAAGGATACAAGTGAAGCAGAAGGTGTCCTTGTGTTTAAGATTAAGGGGTGTGGTACTTCTATGCCCTCTGTGGAGACATCTATGTCCAACTGTTTGGAAGCTCCACAAACCCTGCCTTTTGAATTTTGATGGAGACATCATTATATAGGCCTAGTTAATTAAATAATTGTTCGGTGGTCATCAATTTAACGTACAGCTTATCCCGTCCAAAGGATTTTAGGAGTTACAAGCAAGAAAACAGTAGATACCAGATGTATTTCACACTAACACAGGCGATTTGTTGAAGTAAGATCAGAATTGTGCTTTAGGAAATGCACATCAATGATGTGATGTAAGAAACAAAAGTATTGCAATAGAGGGTGAAAATGGTAACTAAGGAAACGGGAAGAAGGGATAGCTGTCAGAGGTATTTTATAGAAAGAATTAGCAGAACTCAATGACCATATAGGACCTGATGTTGAGCCTAACTGCATGGAAAGTGGCTGGCCTCAATAGACGTGGAGAAATACATAAGGAACCCCACTGTGAGGTGACCCTATTTCCTTTTAATATGTGTGGAAATGATAGTGTAGGAGAAATTCGAAACTGGAGGCAGCCTGCTGGCACTGGAAAATGTGGGCCTGGAGTCTAAAGAAAACTTGGAGCCAGAAAAGATGCAGATGTCCTTGAAACAGATGTGCTGAAATCGAGATCCCAGAAGGAGACAGGGAGTTGAGGCAAAGACGGGACCTGCTGAGCCTCTACTGCTTTGGTGTCTTGTCATTCTATAAGAGTAAAAAACAAAACCCTAATAATGAAAACAGTGTCTTGGGGTCCTATAGATTGATTGATCATTTCTACTGTGGGTCCTCCTTGAGGTTGCTCATATAGCTGTATTTAGCTTAACATTCTATAGGTTCTGGGGTTTAGCCTAGGAGGCCTGATTCCCAGTGACATTTACATGACTAGCTTGGGTTTCCTCATGGTCTGGTTGTCTTATGGCAGTGTCCTAAAAGCTTCAGAGGGACTTCCTTTTTCTGCATCATGTCTATTATACTCTGTATATCAAAGCAAATCATAGGCCAGCACAGATTTGAGACAGTAATTATGGGAGGTATGGCAAGATCTCACTACAGAAGGCATTAGTGATGGGAAATTGTGGAAGAACAATATCAGATCTGCACAGAAAGTGAAATATTTAGTGCATATCGATAAATGACCTTTGAATTATACTGTGTTTCTGCCAAGATAGCTCTCTGGCTTCTCCATATGTCAAATCATCCCTCCTCTCTAGCATAGGTGTAATACATTCAAACATTCTGAGGTTTGTTTGTTTGGTTGGTTGGTTGGTTGGTTGGTTAGTTGGTTTTAGTTTGGAAGGTTTTGCTGTTTTCAGTTTCACTGAGACAGAGTCTCTTTATTTAGCCCAGGCTGACCTTGAACTTTCTATGTAATCCACACTAGCTTTCTGTTCCTGCATCTGGGATTTCAAGCATTCATTATCATCCCTGGGCAGGTATTCTTAGTTAGCCTTTCTTCTCCTGAGAGGACCGACAACTCCACTATGTGAGTTCTGGGAATCAAATTCAGGTCCATGGGTTTGGCAGCAAGCACCAAACCCACTGAGCCATCTTCCTGGCCCCTCTGTTATGGTTTTTTTTTGGGGGGGGTTGTTTTTTGTTTTTGTTTTTTGTTTTTTTACTGTGCTAGGAATCAAATCCAGGTTATATATGCTAGACAGCACTCTACCAACTGAGCTATATCCCCACCTTTGGGAGTTTGGGGGCACAGTGAGACAGGGTCTCATGTAGCCCATGCCAGCCTTAGTCAAAAATGATCTTGAACTTTTCCTTCTTCCACCTCCATCTTCTAAGTGCTGGGTTTGTGTCCATATACCACAAAGGCTAACCAGAGCCCAGAACTTCAAGACCAGCCTGGGCAACATAGTGAAACATTGTCTCTACATATTAATAACAATGTATGATACTCAAGCATATAATTTATTATTCATGTAGGCTACCATGCTAGTCATTGAATTAGTCATCCATTGCTTACTCTTTTCATAGGTTTATGGTTTTGACCAGCAGCAAATTCTATGGTTTTGTCCATTCCCATATCTAAGCAAGTGTCAAAAATTATACAAAATTACAAAACGGAATTTATTTGTGTATACCTTTGGGGGGAGGAGCGTTTGTGCACATCCCTTGGCAAGTGTGGATAGGTCAAAGGGAAAATTATGGAGATCAATTCTCACCTACCACCATGTAGATCCCAGGGGTCAAAATCAGGTCCTGAGACTTGATGGCAAGTGCTTTTAACCACTGAGCCATCTTGCCAGCCCATATTTATAACATATTTTTACTCAACAACTTCAATTAATAGTTAGGAAAACCAAAATTCAGTTAAAATGATTTGCCCAATGCCAACAGACTCAGAGCTAGTTCTAAATGTAGGCCTCTGTCTACTATATGTTTGTTTTGTACCAGGAGAACAGGTCTGGTGTGAGAATTGACCAAAGGCAGCATGCAGCAGCAGTGGCTTCTTCCTCCCTTCTCTCTTACCGGTGGTTTTAACTCATATTGCATACATGAGTAAAGTACTACCAAGTCTCTCACTCCTACTCAGTGTTGTGAGTGAGCAACAGCCAAGCTTCAGAATCTTAGAAACAGTTGCAGTGCTTTTAGCTCAGTCCATAAT